GAAAATACCTATGATACACATACCTTTTTTGATTTAAGCCTTATTCTCATTTACCTAGAAATATGCTTAACTCCCCCCAAAGATGCTCTAGCCATTTCTGAGATGTGAGGATCTAGGAGTCTCACATGTGCAAAGATGCTTCTAGTCAAGTTGGCTGCTTTGACCTCCTGAGAAGGACCTCAACCATCACAACCTCATGTGTAGAGACAGCCTGGGAAACTGCGATGTGAATCCGCTCCCCCCACCTTCCACTGTCTGTCCAAATACTTGGCTGTGCTCTTTGATAGTTTGTGGAGGACAGGTTATATGAGGGGAGAAAAGGGTCCTCTTTCCAAATCTCTGGAGTCTCCTGTGAATCAAACTTTTCTTATTTCTCTCCCTAGCCTCATTTCCTGCTGAAATTCCAAAATGTCCCAGGAGACTGAATTGGGCAAAGAATGTATGTGTGTGTAGGGGGGGTGACGTTTATCAGCTACCACCCTCTCCCACCCCCTTCTTGCTCTCTCCAATTACTCCAGAACTAGCACTGCTGCCATATCACTGGAGCAGCTGGATGTGAAATGAATCCACATGCTTCTCTCCTTCTGTGATGAGATATTCTGCTCATGGAGTGGAACTGCTCCCATACTGTGAAATCAGGGCTGGCCTGTGACAGGCGTTGGTCAGCTGAATGTGGCTGAAGTGAGTGATTCTTCCCACCCTGAGCCTTGGAGAACTGAAAGCGTTTCACCCACTTTTCTGACTCCTCACTGTGCTCTGAAAACACAGCCTGCATTTGAAAACTGTCTAGTGAAAAGTGGCCTCAGCCTGTGACTCATCATGGCCTTAGGGGAGCCCAGAAGACCCCTGGAGTCTTGTACATGACCTGCTTTACATGAGGGCAGTCAATGAGACCAAAAGAACCACCCAGCTAAACCAGTGTCTGTCATATGAAGTCACTGAGTTTTATTGCATATATAGGCTTATTGTGATGGAATAACAGAATTTTGTTTCTGATCACCCAGATCATGTTTGGTAGATTCAAGCCCTCTTCTGAGAAGCCCCTTAAACAACAAATTTCTCACCTAGCTTCCTTGAGGACACCTTTGCCTCCCTTTCAACAGTGTGAAAGAAAGATGCCATAGCACGGTGAAGTTGTTTGAATTTTAGCAGATGTGCACAAGGTAAAAGGGAAAGCTAGTCAGTTGCTGGGTGAGCACTTAAAGGGTTTGGATGGAGAAAAGTCCCATCAATCATCTCTAGGGCTGCAAAGATCACAGTAAATTTAATATCTTGCGGAAATGGCAAATATGGCCAATCTCCTCATATATTTATAGCGGTGGGTGAGAGCCTCCCTGGGCCTCACACATCGGAGGCAGGGACTCTTCCACTGAGCCACACCACCAGCTCAGTCGCTCCATCTGGAATTGAGTCTGAGCTGCTGCTGCAGAGAAGAGGGAATGATGATGGTGCTAACAGTGAGTTGTGGCAGATCCTGGATCTGCAGATTCCCACAAGTAGGAATCAGATGGTCCAAGTAAAAATCTGATGACCTTTTGTTCCCCTCCATGTCTAAATCTCTTTCCACGTTCCAGTTGCTTGTGTAATTCTAGTTCCCTGGCAGCTACTGCTCAATGCTCGGAGCATCAGTGACAGCATTTTATTGCAGGTAAAATGCAGCTAAGGCTTAGTAAAATGGGGCTGACAACATCTGCAAGAGAACCTGTACTGCATACAATTTTGTGTGCTACTAGCCTCAGAAGGCAGTCATCACGCTGTGTATGAAGCCCACTCTGCACAGGCTGGGAGTGGATCCCCATCACCCAAACTCCTGGGGGGCTATGGGAGGACTCAACCTAGAGCAAGGAACTGCACTTAGCAGGAAAGGAAAAGTTGATTCTAAACGTGGCACAGGCATTCCAGGTCCATTTTCTTTCCTCAAAAAAAGAAAAGAAAAAAACTTCAGGAAGTGCTAAAAGAAATAGTTTTTTATTGAAATATATAGAGAAAGAGATGTAAGGGGAGAGAAAGAGGAATATGTACAAGAGAGAAAGCATTGAATAAAGAGCTTTGGGGAGGAGGTTATACAATTCTTCCAATTGTATTGGTCTGGAGTTCTCCTCATACATGAATGTAGACCTGGGTGTTGTCACAGGAAAAGCCTCACATTATTGATGGTCTTTTCACATTCTGATCACAACCTTTAGGTTCTTCTGAGGATCCACCCTTCTCTCAGTGGAAACTGTTGCATCTGATTGGTACTTCAGCTTCTCCATCTTCCAAGAGCTCAGGTTTTACATCTTAGAGTTGTGATATTCATGCCTGTGTGCTATTTCAGGCTAAGCCATTTCTTTTTAATTTTCACAAAAGCTCATTTCTTTTTTATTTCCCAAAAGCTCATTACCAGGGTCTCTAACTCTATGCCTGGTTCACTTTGGAAAGCCTAAGCAATGAACAGTATTGTGTGTTGACTGGTTCCTGACTAAGTATTTCCTCTCCACTTTGCTAGCAGAGCAACTTTTCTTCCCTCTTAGTTCTCACATTTTACAGTTATTTCTAGTCCCTTCCATAGCAACTTGTGAAGTTGGAGGGCCTCCACTGGTGGTTTATGTGAACTGGGGAGGAGAGAGATGGTCACTTTCTCCCAATCTGCCTCTACCACTCCATGCCATCTAGGAAGGCTTGGACTGGTAAACTCTGCAATGAAACCCTGCATGGCACAGACCGAACCCTGCCAGCCCCACCAGGTACCTGTCAAACCACAACTGATGTCAGCTTTGTCTTCTTGGTACAGGCATGGGGAGTTGATCCTTGCCACCTGATTTCCCAGGGATCCAAGGACTCAGGTTGGAGTGAGGAATTGCTCTTTGCAGGAAATGAAAGTCAGTCCTAGGCCTTACAAAGTGTTACCGGGTTCTTGTCTTGCCTCACAGAAAAGAATTTCAGGAGTAGACAATTAGTAAAACAAAACAGATTTTATTTGGAAAGTTTTAGGGAGAGAAAATGAGAGAGTGAGTGAGTGAGAGAGAGAGAGAGAGAGAACATAGGCTTCTCCAAAGACAGAGTCCCTACACACATCCCAGCATTAGATAGGAAAGCATAAAAAGAGGGAAGATATGGGTCCCACATGTGATCTGGTGCCACGTGAGCTTGGCCACGTGATCCGAAACAGCACATGGGCTTGGGCAGCATATGAGGGCCCTTCCTTTGATCAAGGTGGCTTTTAGAGGGTTTTTCCCAAGTTGCCCCATGTGGGGCTTTCTAGCTAGGCAAGAGTCTGTTGCTAGAGTAGTTGCCAAGTGGGTAGTGGTCTTTGAAACTCCTTTTCTTGACCTTTGTTCCTGCTGGATCTTCTCACAGAAGGTGAGCCCAGCCTTTTCTGTCTGGGTTAGCTGAGCCTCAAGGATTAATCAGATTAAAGGAAGAAATTTAGGGTTCGCAAGTAATTTTCTTCAGGTTCTTTTTGTAGGGATAGGTCTAGTCTCCTCAGGGTCTGCTGCTGGAGAAGGTCTTTCCAGGTCTTGCTTTCTGTCCCCACATGTGAGTCTACCTTAGGACCATTGACTTCATTACTTCCCAGGAATTTCACTGCCATTATGGGGGTGGGGAGGATACTGCCCTAATCTATCTGCTTATATCACTTGCACGGGGGCACATAAATTGGGGTTGAGATACTTGCTCAGCTCTGAAGCATCCTGATTATCTATGTTTTATATCTGGGACCTTGTTTAACAGGTGAACCAACCACAGTGCCGCAAAGAACTATCACAGGACAACTAAGAGAGCACAGTTAGGACCACAGCTACAAAGGAAATAAAAGTTGCTGATGGCTGATTTCTATTTATATTTTTTAAAGTTTTTTTTAAAGAGGTGTTAGGGAGGTAGTTCACGGGGCTGAAGATGCTTGTATGCAGGAGCCCCAAGTCATCCCCTGGAACTTGTGCTAACCTGCCAGCACCATCACCAAATGAGACAGAACATAGGAAAAACATTTTCTGTTTTTGTTTTGCTTTAGGGATACACCCAGAACTATTCAGGCACTACTCCTGTATCAGTACTTGGGGGTTTCTATTATGCTGAGGGGAGCATTTGGTACCAAGAATCAAACCAGTCTCCTGCAGAAAGAAAAACCACATTTCGTCCTTTGAGCTATCTTTCTTCTTCCAAGTTCTTAGGGGATTTGGGGTTTTTTTGTTTGTTTGTTTGTTCTGTTTAAGGGCCGCATCTGGCAATGCTCAGGACTTTTTCCTGGCTCTGACCTCAAAAATCACTCTTGGTAGTGCTTGAGGACCGTACGGGTTACTGGGGGTCCAAAGCAGGTCAGCCACTTGCAAGACAAGTGCCTTATCTGTTATACTCTCTCCAGTCCTTAGCCCCCTATTTTAAAATTTATTACTTAGCTTCTTGGTCCTGTTGGGTGGGAAGTGATATTGGGTTGACTTAGGCTCTGTGGGGATATGCCCTAATCCCCAATAACCTTTTCTGGACATTTTCTACTATTTCCATAGTTTTTGTGGGCTTCTGGAAGTTGTTTCAGGGCAGGAGTAATATTAACTTCGCGTGATAGATAAAGGAAGTGGTTGTGGCCTGGGGGTCTGGCTTTCAGGGACACGTTGTTCATTATCTGTACAAATCACCTATGCCTCGCCTTTGAATGTCCCCCACAAGTCAAAGCATCTTTAAAAAGCAGAAAGTAAAAACACTGATGAACAGACCAAGGGAGAGACTATGCAGGCCTCCATAATCAGCCTTGAGCTCCTGGATTGTTAAGGACGCTTGATGGGCCTTTCTCAGAGCTGCACAGCTCAGGACTCAGGAATCAGCCCTACAAGGATTTACACATGTCCATCTCACCATCTCCCTCCAGCTCTCTTCCCCCAGATCAGTTCTTTGCTTTTTCAAGAAACAAACGGGATGAAAGTCCAGGGCTGGGACTTCCTCCTTGGAGAGTTTGACAAGGACTGACGTACTGGAGGCCTTTGAATCCCGGAAATCCAGGACACACCCAAGCTTGACTGCAGCCCGCGAAGCTGCTTGCTGGGGTGCCGGTAAAAAGGGACAGAAGCAAGACGCCTATCAACATGAAGGACCCACTGACAGACTGTTCGGTGAGTAATCTGGTGTGCAGGAGGGTGGTTGCATGCTAGGTTTGTATATCAGTGAATTTTAGCTTAAGAAATTTGAGACGCTCTCAAGCCAAACATGTTTAGATATTGGCTGAGGTACAAAAGTCTTGTGGTTTTTCTCTGATTTAATTTTAACTGGTGTCTGTTCTAGAGAATGATAGGGCAGGTCATTGTTAATTTTTATCTGCCGGTTCTTGGGAACACTTAGAGTGTGTCTAGTAACATTCAAGTCAATAGTAGCTGTTTGGAAAACTTTTGTCAGACATATACCAAGGGAGCTGACCTCGTGTGCAGTGGGCAGAGAACATGTAAAGTACTTTCAGGCAGTTTTGGACTGAGAATGAAGTGAGCGGTGAGTTTTGTGGTGTATTGTATTTTCTGAGATCATTTAGAGGCAAGGACTGCAAATCCTACAGCAGGAAAGACAGACTCCCGGCTCTGATCGACCCTGGTGGTTCTCAGACAGATTTCCCAAAGTGCTTTGTTTCAGTTTGAGGATCCTTACCAAAAATAGATGCATCAAAAGTCCGAAGGTACGGTGAGATCGTTAAAAGCAATGACAGAGATTATAATTTAGAAAATGAAGAGCAACTCACGTAAAGGAGGAGGGTGGAGAGGACATATTTGCTTTGGAAATGAAATAATCAAGGATGTCTCAGAAGAAAAGGATTGAGTTCATTCTTTGTTTATTAAAAACAAAACAGAACAAAATGAAAACTGCAGAGAAGCAGATAAACAGGGATTGCATAAAGCCATAAAGGAAAAGATCAACAGAGGATTATTGGCTTCATTTGTATTTATTCAATGATCCGGCAAAGTGCAGGCTCAGAGAAGAAGCAACTCTAATTGTTACTCCACCAAGTGAGTTTATGAATCAGATGAGCAAGATAACCATAGACTAGTAATATTAATGCTTCCTTTACACTTTTTAAAGCTCTTTTAAATACAAAAATAATGCAGATCTTATGTAAACTCAAATTCCAACAGTGTATAAATTTGAGGACGGAGTGGTGGGAAGGTTGCTGGGGAATTGATCCCAGGGCCTTGTACACACAGAGCATGTACTCACGTACTCTACCACTGACCTACATCCCAGAGCAGTGTGTAGATTTCAAAAGTGAAGCTTTCAAGCTGGGGAAATAACTCACAGAACTAGAGAAACCCCAAGTTTAATCCCCACCATCAAGTTCCCCCTCTCCACCCTAAGCAAGAGTGTGACCTAGGCACTGAGCTATCCTTCTCATCAGTGGGAGTGGCCCTTAGATCCTTTCAAGTATTGCTTTGGAGCCTCCCCTCAAAAAATGACATGCTCTTTTGCTGTTGTTGTTTTTATTGTGTTTGGTTTTGTATCACACCTGGCAATGCTCAGGGTTTATTCCTGGTTCTGTGCTCAGGGATCACTCCTGCCAGGGCTCTGGGTACCATTTGAGATGCAGAAGATCAAACCCAAGCCGAGTGCCCTACCCATTGTACTATATCTCTCCTGTCCAACAAGTCTCTTTTTAAGTTCCTCCATTGCTTGTTGTTTATTTGTTGTTTGGGGCGTCTGCCTTGCACGCAGCCAACATGGCCGACCTGAGTTCGATTCCTCCGCCCCTCTCGGAGAGCCTGGCAAGCTACTGAGAGTATCTCACCCGCACGGCAGAGCCTGGCAAGCTCCCCGTGACGTATTCGATATGCCAGACACAGTAACAACAAAGTCTCCAATGGAGACGTTACTGGGCCCGCTCGAGCAAATCGACGATCAACCGGGAGGGCCTTTATCTTTATCTTATCCAATTTTTTCTTATGTTTGCTCCCTTTCTACACTGTTATCTCCTTCCCTTTCTTGCCGTTAACGCATTGATGTTTTTGTATGAGGGTAAATGGGTGGGATAAGACAGGAACAAAAACGGAAACAAAAACTGCCAGCAAGATAGTACAGGGGTTAAGGCATTTGCTTTGCCTTTGATTGAGCCTGGTTTCATCCCCGGCACCACATATAGTCTGCTGTGCCAGGAGTGATACATGAGCCTAAGCTCTGAGTACCACCAAGTACAGCCTCAAGCCCCTCCCCCAAGCCACCCCTACCCTCCCACCCAAAACAAGACAACAGTAAACATTCAGTATCAACAGTTACTAAAGAAGAAAGTCAGCACACCAAAGTAAGAGTGAGTTAGAAGAAAAGGAAGCTGAGGTCAACTTAAGACAAAACAAAAACTGAAGAACCAACTGCCTGACATCCTTTTCCAAGGCTAACTTTAGATTAGGATCTGGGTGCAAGGCTTCCTTGTGCGCAGCCCCCAGAAGCACAGTTCTGTGTCTGCACAAAGCTCCTATCTCCTGATACTCGGAATGGTTCTTTTCGTCATGCTCCAGTGTAGCCCCAAGGACTCTTATACCCTTTTCACAACCTTGAAAGTCATCCCCATGGGCTCAATGCCACCAAAGTCATCTGGGAGGTAGAAGAAGGCGGATATCCCTTCAGCTAGGGTTTCAAATTCTAAAGTCACGGAATCTTTATTTATTTGCAATTGTTTCATCTTGATCAAGAGTTCAAGTTGATTTCCTGGTTCTTGTGCCGAGGGAACAATGCTGTGTGAAGATAAAGTTGCCCTTTGGGAACAGAACAAACAAGAGAACAGATTGCAAATAAATGGAACACTCAAATGTTTCATGAAGAAATCAAAGAGAAACCAAAACTTTAACTGCCTACAAAATGTCACTTTCTATTCGTCCCTAAGTTTGTGTGGAACACAATTACTTCAAAATGCCTTCTCAGAGTACTTACTTACCTTGGTCTACCCAGAAGGACCCTGATCTACTCTGAGACCAGTTCTTACCCTGGTCTATAAATTGTGAGGGAATTAACGGATTTGCATAACTTTCAATGGGAAAGATGTGACCTCTTTCTACAGATGAGTTTTAAACTGAAATTTAGAACTTCCTTCAATTCTGAATAGAAGCGACAAACAGCAGTCATACCAGCATGTCTCTGTCCTTGGAACTAACAGAAATCACATGAATCTCAGGGCCAGACAGATAGTCAGTGGTCAAGACACTTGCCTTGCGTGCAGCCAACCTCAGTTCCATTCCCAGCACATGATATGGTCCCCTGAGCCCTGGCAGGAGTGATCCCTGAGCACAGACCCAGAAGTTTGCCCTGAGCACCACTAGGTTTGTCCCCAAACCAAAAGCAAAGAAACAAATCTTCATATAGCACTATAGTTGTTTGCACACAGTTAGAAATAATATATACACCCAGTGTGTCTTAGAAATTCGGGTTGATTCTTGACTTGTTTGAAACTTGATATGTTAATTACATGTATAATGTAGCACTGTAGCACTGTCCTCCTGTTCATTGAGTTGCTCGAGCGGGCACCTTTGTAACATCTCCATTGTGAGACTTGTTGTTACTGTTTTTGGCATATAGAATATGCCAAGGAGCTTGCCAGGCTCTGCCATGAGGGCAGGATACTCTCGGTAGCTTGCTGGACTCTCTCTCCGAGAGGGACGTAGGAATCAAACCCGGGTCGGCCTCATAAAAGGCAGACGTCCTACCCACTGTGCTATCGCTCTAGCCAGTGTAAAATTTTGTGGAATTAAAATATATTTTCTGGGGCTCGGCCCAGTGGTAGAATGCTTGCCTTGCATGGGGCATACCTAGATTTAATTTCCAGCACTCAGTATGGTTTCCTGAGCTCACCAGAAGTGATCCCTCACCAGAATGCAGAGCCGGACTAAAACCTGGGCACAGATGGGTATGGCCCTCAAATTAAAGCAATAATAATAAAAATAAAGTAAGATATGTTTTCATAAGAATGTAGCAGCATCATTTATTTTATTTGGAGCCCTGTTATTTTGTTTTATGTGGTTGAAGATATTCTGAGTAAAAGTGTTTTCTCCACAAAATGATCACTGTCCTCCCGTTGTTCATTGATTTGCTTGAGCGTGCCCAGTAACATCTCCATTGGAGACTTTGTTGTTACTGTGTTTGGCATATCGAATACATCACGGGGAGCTTGCCAGGCTCTGCCGTGCGGGCGAGATACTCTTGGTAGCTTGCTGGGCTCTCTGAGGGGGCGAAGGAATCGAACTCAGGTTGCCCATGTTGGCTGCGTGCAAGGCAAACGCCCTACCGCTGTGCTAATTGGTCTCGGTAAAATATTTTAAACTTAGAATTACTATTACTAATTTTTTTTTGCTATTTGGAGACCACATTCAGAGGTATTCAGGTCTTATTATTCACTATGTGCTCAAGGATCATTTCCGGCAAAACTAGGAGTACAATATATGTGTGTGGTGCCAGGGATTGAGCAGGTATATGTCATGTGCAAAGCAAGAGACTTAACCCTTGTACTGTATTTCTGGCCCCTAACTCAGATTTTTAAATATCTTCCTTTTAGTCATAAAGTTTCCAAGATAGATTAATGACTTGGGTCATTCAACAGCATTGTCAGTATCTGTGCTCAAATGATTAGTCATGGGGATAATACAAAGACTGCCTAAATGCTGCACCAAATTTTTTTTTATTTAATCATTTTTTTAATAGTGAAACACCATGAAGTACATTTATAGACTTATAAATTTTTGTGCTTGGGTTTCAGTTATACAATGATCAAGTACCCATCCCTCCACCAGTGCCCATCCTCCCCCACCACGGACCACGGGTCCTAGCATCCCTCCCACCCCTCATCCCCCCCCCCCCCCCCGCCATCCCACCCTGCCGCTGTGGCAGGGCATTCCCCCTTGTTCTCTCTCTCTTCTTTTGGGTACTGTGTTTTGCCAGAGAGGCATTGAGTGGCAATCATGTTTGGCCTATAGACTACTTTTAGCATGTCTCTCCCACCCTGGGAGGGTCTTCACAACACCCTTTATTTGGTGCACCAAATTTTTAACTCATCTTGAGAGCATTAGAAACTATTGGAAGAAAACTTTTTCAAGTTATGTTTTTGACAACAAAAATAATTGGTTGAATCCTGATGTTTTCATGCCCAAGAGCT